ATTTAGGTCTGTCTGCTTTCAGAATCCATGTTCTTTCCTATACAAGTAGGCAACTTTTGCTTGCTTCAAGAAGCAGCTGATTTGGGGGCCAGCAGATGGTGTAGCAATTACGTCGCTGGTCTCCTACATGATCGATAGACCTGGTGGCTTGAAAATCATGCCTAGCATATGTGCCTAAGATCCCAGGAGGAGAATGGAGGGGAAGGGATTGTGGCATGGCCGTCTCCTCTGGGGGGATTTCTCAGTTTCCATCTTAACGTTCTCTCTCTTTCTTCCATGCACACGTGTCCTAAGGCAAAAACCTTTTAGAAAAAAAAGCAGCACCGGGGGAACCAGCAGTTAGCGTAATGGCTATGTCGCTGGACTCCCACGTAGTCGACCACGGTCCGTGTCCCGGACCCGGTGGCTTAAAACTCACACTGGGCGCGTGTGCGTGCGTGCCCAAGATCCCGAGAGGAGATTGGAGAAGGGATTGCGGCGTGACCATCCCCCCTGGGGGGTGATTTCTCGCTTTCTGTCTCTATGTCTCTCTCTGTCTGTCTGGCGAGCGCACGCGCCCTACAGTGAAAATCTCTCCAAAGACAAGGAGGCCAAGGCCCGGGGAAGTTAAATACATTGCCTGGGCACCGTTGAAAAGTGTAGTAATTCTAAATTTAAAAGATTTTTTAAAGGATTATTTAATTTTATTTAATCATTCATTTATTTTACTTTGACCAGAGAGAGACAGAAAGAGAAAGAAAGTGAGAAAGCAAGCCACCAAGTCCAGGACTTGAAACATGGTCAGCCATATGAGAGTGTCCAGCGCTTTAACCACTACACCACCTGCTGGTCCCCCTAAATAAAATTTTTAAGGAATTTTATTCTAGGTGTCATACTATAAAATAGAATTCAGATATAGCACATATAAATATCCATTTTGATCTAGAACTGTCATTTTGCAGATTCTGTTACTTTCTCCCTTTAGCATCTCAAAATGGTCATTAGGAAAAGGCTCTTGGCTTTCATTCACAAAATGTTTACAATTTAACAAAAAATTAACAAGATAAAGTTGCTCTAAAATTTGGAAGAAAAAATAAGTAACACTGGAGATTAATTCCTATCCCAATGATGTTTTAGAAAAATTTGTGAGTAATTTAGAGCTTGGCAAGTGTGATTTTGTTGTTCTTCAAATTGGAATAACTTAAGAAGTTACCACTATAATAGTGGATAGATGGATGGATATAGATTCATTATGAAGAATTGGCTGGGGGACCAGCAGTTAGCGTAATGGCTATGTTACTGGACTCCCATGTAGTCGACCATGGTTCGTGTCCCGGACCCGGCAGCTTAAACTCACGCCAGGCGTGTGTGCATGCGTGCCCAAGATCCTGAGAGGAGAATGGAGGAGACGGGATTGTGGCGTGGCCATCCCCCCTGAAGGGGGTGATTTCTCGCTTTCCATCTCTCTGTGTCTGTCTGTCTGTCAGGCGAGCATATGTGCCCTATAGCAAAAACCTCTTCAGAAAAAAAAAGAATTGGCTCACATGTTTCTGGAGGCTGACAAATCCTAAACTGCAGGATAGGTTACCAGGTTAGAGATCTGAGAGTACTGCAATTGTAGTCTGAAGGACTGTAGGCTAGACTTCCAAAAAAGCCAAAGTTCTAATTTAAGTCTCAAGGCAGTCTCTTGGAGAGTTCTTCTGCACAGTGGAAGCTAGTCTTTTTATTCTATTTCAGGCTTTCAGCTGATTGGATGGGGTTCACTCATATTGTGGAGAGTGATCTGCTTTACTCAAAGTCCACCAATTTAAATGTTAATCTCATCCAAAAACATCCCCATAGACATACCCAGAATAATATTTGACCAAATATCTGGGCACCTTGTGGCCCAGTCAAGTTGATAAATAATATGAACTGTTATACTAGATTAAATGAAGAAAACATTAAATTTATGAAGCATTGAAGACCCGGAGATTCCTCCAGTATTGGTCATCATTTTTATGCCTCTTAATATAAAATAATACAACTGTACCTCTTTCCAGAGTATTTTTATACATTATCTCAACTATCCTTCACAAGAGCTCTTGGGAATTTATCGGAATAGAGGTTTGTCCAAGGAGGATACCAAGACCCGACAGATTTGCTTTCAGAGTCTCACAGCTGTGAGAGTCAGGGTTGTAGATTGCCCAGGTCCTGTAGCTTTAAGCCCAAGCATATCCTCCTTGACCATGCTCTCTGTAGCAGCTGAGGAATTCTGGAAATAGTTTTGAGTGCCTTGTGGCTTTTCTTCTTGCAACTAGTATGATCCCCCTTCTTGGAACCATGTTGTCATAGAAAGTTAACCAAATATATATTGGCAGCACCTAAAGATTTTGTTTTCAGATGACTCTAATGATGCCCTGAGGTGGAAAGAAAGGAAGAAGGAAAGAAAGGCAAGTTAGCAGCAGAAAGAGTAATGTCAAAAAATAATTAGAGCAGGACAAATGGATTGTGCTGCCATGTTCGAGGCTGTTATTTCTGTAGGCAGTGAGGAGGAAGGGCACTAATGTAATGTGACGGATCTGGAGCAAAACCCAGGGCACTGAGCTAACTGCAGAGATTCAACCAATGGCAAGGTTCAAATCACAAGGTTTAACTGGATAATATTTGATATCTCAAAGAGTTTTATGTTTTTGGAGACACTAATTGTTTGAGGAATTTAACTTTTTTATTGATTTCAACTTTTTGAAAACAGCCTCATGGATCTGTGAAGGTAGTCAATGTGACCTAGAATAACTCCTATCCCAACGTTCTGTTCCTACTTATCCCCATCCTGGGCAGGGACATGATGCCAGTTGAGATTTTAGAAGAGAAAATACTGGGGGGCCCGGCTGTTTGTGTGCACTAAGATGCTGTTCACTTCCAGGAGACCATGTTAGGAGGCCCAGGTTCAGTTAAACATCCAGCTTGAAAACTGGGCATGCACATGTGATCCCAGTGACTCGAGGAGGCTGAGGCAGGACCATTGTAAGCTTGCATAGCGAGACCCAGTCTGAAAAAGAGCTGCGTTTGGTGATGTGTCCCAGCTGGAGGGCTGAGGCAGGATCATGATGGAAAGACTCTTGACTACAAACAACTAAATAAAAATATAACTGGGGTGACTGGATATCTCCTATTCAAAGGCAAAATAAAATAGACGAGTCTTAATCAGTGTACAGCTTGGTATTAGAAAATTGACCCAACAAAGACCAGAGATAATACTCGCATTTGTCTGAGGACCAAATGCTTTGCTATGCCTCCATGTGCTCCCACTGCTGCCACCATGTACAAGGAAACTTCCCCAGCCCTCAAGAAAATTAGTACTTCCATCATTTGCTTGGAAGGTCTTCACAAGAGGAAATGTAGATTGGCCTTCTCCCCTATAAGTCGCCATACCCTTCAAGTCTACTGATTGCTATCACCAGTGTGGCGTAGTAGTTAAAAGTCTGTGCCTTATTACTCAAACATACCTGGATTCATATTCCACCTCTGGCCTTTACCAGCTGTTTGACTTGGAGCAACTTACCTGACTCCTTGGAGCCTGATTTTTTTTTTTCTTTATTCATGTTTATTTATTTCTTCTGTGAGCGAGAGAGACAGAGACACAGAGATAGGCACCCCCAATAGTGTCCTTAACCTCATGATACACCTTCCATCTCAGCCTGCCCAGATCACATTGTGCTTAGGGAGATCCCAGGATATGAACTGAGGATCTTTCCCCCATGTGTCCAGCTGCTTTACTTCTATACCAGTGCCTGGCTCCCCAGCCTCAGTTTCTTTATCTGTAGAGTAGAGGTAGTAAACTTCCAGACTTACTATGAGGTCTTGTGCAGCGATACACATAAAGCATTTAGCATTGATGGCGGTCACAACGTAAGGGCTCAATAAGGGTAAAAGAAAGTGTGAGGGGAAGAAAAATGTGAGCGGTGAGGAAGAAGCTTGCTTTGTCTACCAAACAACTGTCAAAGGAGAGTTAGATATCCATTCTCCCTCTCTCTCTCTCTCTCTCTCTTTTTTTCTCTCTAGTGTACATGTACTGTTTAGAGAGAGAGAGAGGGTGAGAAACCACCACCCAGGAGGATGGCCACACCACAATCCCTTCTCCCTTTGGCACACAGGCACACAGGCCTGGCATGATTCTCAAGCCACTGGGTCCAAGACTTAAACCACAAAGCTGGCCTTGTAAGACCAAATGCCTTCACGTCTATACCACCTGCTGGCCCTCCATTCTTCTTCACTTCTCTGATATAAGTAGAGATAAATGGTTTGTTTTATTTTTGTTCATTTATTTTAGAGTGTATGCATGTTCATTAGAAAGAGGAAGAAGGCAAATACATGCACCCTCCACTGGATCTGGTCATGTCATGACTGCCTGCCTTTAGTCCTCCAGCCTATTGGATCCTGGCACTTCAGCATGTGCCTGGAGTGTTCTAGTATGACTGGGTCAGGAATTTGAACTGTGGTTGCCATGTGGGATCTGGCTTCTTTTTGAGCAGCATATTACTGCTGTGCCATGGAGCCCACCTTTTAAACTTTTTTTTTCCCTCAAGACTTCATAGTATAGGTTGAGATAATGTTATAATGGTTAAATCAGGCTTTCCTTATTTAATATTCAAGGGGTAAAGAGAAAAAATTAAGCCAGGCTATTATGGTTCTCAATTAAAGAACTCACAAGTTATAGGTTATCCCTGTTGGTCCTCTAAAAGGAATCATCTTTCCTTCCTAGCTCTTGGATTGCCTTATCCGCCTCCCCAGTCCTCTGAAGACTCAGAACTGATGAACAATCAAGTCTTGACACCTTGCCATTATATCCCCAGCTTGCTTCAACTCACTTCATTTCAACAAATCTTTTCCCTTTCTCAGCATGCCACAACCTCTACAGAGAGCTGGCTGATAAGAGGGGCAAAGAGAAACCTGACCCCCACCCTTCACCCTAGAGAAAGACCTCTTATTTGACACAGTACAGAGGGAGAAATATTTCTGGGCCTTAGGAAGTGGTCTCTGTTCAGTGCATAATACTCCTTACTACAGTTCTGTCCATGGGCAAGTTCATGAAACCCGGGAAAGTGCTGCTGGTGCTGGCCAGGTGCTACTTCAGCCGCAAAGCCGCCATGGTGAAGAGCATCGATGATGGCACCTCAAACTGCCCCTGTAGCCACGCTCTATTGGCTAGAATTGACCGCTATCCCCACAAAGTGACAGCTGCTTTGGGCAAGAAGAAAATCACCAAGAGGTCAAAGATCAAGTCTTTTACAAAGGTTTATAACTATAGTTACCTGATGCCCACAGTGTACTTTGTGGATATTCCCTTGGACAAAACTGTGGTCAACAAGGATGTCTTCAGAGACCCTGCTCTTTTTTTTTTTTTTTAATTATTTCATCTAATTTTATGTATGTATGTATGTATGTATTTATTTCAGTTTGATCAGAGAGAAGGGGGACATGAGAAACCAAACCACCAGGCTCAGGACTTGAACCAAGGTCAGCCATGTGGGAGTCCAGTGCCTTTAACCAGCACACCACCTGCCAGCCCAATCAGAAACCCTGCTCTTAAACACAAGACCTGGCAGAGGACAAAGGTCAAGTTTGAAGAGAGGTACAAGATAGGCAAGAACAGGTTGTTCTTCCAGAAGCTGTGGTTTTAGATGTTTTATGTTTCATTCATTAAAATGGCAAAAAATAAAGTAAAATAAAATCGAGTCCACTTGTAATTGTGCCTTGCTGGTGCAGGTCCTGTGAGAAGTCCATTCTCTTTCACCAGGCACCTAAGACCATAGTTGACCTTAATTTTCTTTTCAAATAGTTTTGCTAGTGCTTTTAATGGTCTACTCAGACTGTGAAACCCTGTTCATTTGTGGCTTGTAGCTTTTTCCTCAAAGCATTTACCTTCTGAAGGTACCCAACCTGTGAATATGTTATAGTGGTCTAGGATTTGCAGCTGGCTGACCTTATATCTTTTCTAGTTTACCAGTTATTTCCAAGGCTTTTCTCCTCACAGAATGTGATTAAGTAAAATTATCTCGTTCATGCATCAAGATTTGGCATAGTGTTGGGACCAGCAGTTAGCGTAATGGCTATGTCGCTGGACTCTCACGTAGTTGACCGCAGTTCGTGTCCCTGACCCGGTGGCTTAAAACTCATGCCTGGCACGTGTGCCCAAGATCCCGAGAGTAGAATGGAGGAGAAGGGATTGTGGTGTGGCCATCCCCCCAGGAGGTGATTTCTCGCTTTCTGTCTCTCTGTCTCTCTCTGTCTGGCGAGCACATGCGCCCTA